GACCTCGTCAGCCGTCAGATACTGAACTCAGGGCTGGCATGTGCTCAGGGCGGCACTGCATTCCAGCCGGCCGGCAGAGCCCCACACCAGGCAGGCCTGGGGCAGTTACTTACCTCCAGGAGGGGCCCCCAAATTGTAATCATCTAAAGTAGTTTCTGACTGTAACAGAATCAAGCGAACCAGCAACAGAAAGCCCGGTAGCTTCAAATACCCGGAACTGGAACAGCAGACTTCTGAGAAATACACAGGCCAAGGGCACCGCCCAAGGGGAATGAGAAAACAGAAGTGACAGTGACGACACATTAAAGCCAGGAGTGCAGCCAGGGATGCAGAGGGAGAATTTAGCATCGGTTTGCTTAGAGCACAGAAGAAGCTGCCCAGCGAAGCCTGCGCCGGAGGAAGCCCAGAGGGAAGCCCAGGAGAAAGAAGAGCAGGCGGGCCGGGTGGTCGCAGGGGGAGCAGCAAACCAAAGCTGCTGTTTGACCGGCAGCCCGAGGAGAGCAGAGAGCCGCGGGGTGAGCGGTGGGTGCGCGCAGGGCCCAGGTCTTCCCTTCGACGCCCCTGTGGACAGACGGGGAAGGAGGCTCCCCAGGCCCTGCCAGGGAGGGGGCGGGGACTGGTGGGGCGCCCGGCTTGTTCCACAGTGGCTCAGGGAAGACCCCACGATGCCCTCGTGAGGTAGACACAGGAGCGGCCCAAATCCTGCCCAGAGAAGTCAGACAGAGGAAGCAGCAGCCTCTGCTGGCCTGGCCAGGAGGGAGGGCCGGCCGGCGGCTGACGGCAGAAGCTGAGGAGGTGAAGGGGAGGTCACACAACAGCCCCGCAGGTCACCAGCGCCAGGACTCCGGGTGGGGGGCGGAGAGCAAGTCCCGAGATGGGGCCGCCCCACTCACTGCAGGGACGTCCCAGGCTGGGAAGGACCCTCCGGGACTGTGCTCAGGTCAGAGGATTTGTCACCAGCGGATGACAAGTGGAGGCAGACAGACACAGCCGCGTGGGGCGGGACAGGGAGGCCGGCCCTCGGGTCTCCCGTGGGACAGGAAGAACCACTTCAGGCTTCCCTTGCCCCGGGTCTAAACATCACTTTGTCCTGGTGTGACCTTTGCCTGACCTGGTATGACCCTCACCTGAGCTGGTGTGACCTTCGCCTGCCCTGGTGCGACCTTCCGAGGCAGGCCGTGGTCAGCAGGGGCTCCATCTTTGCCTGCCCTGATGCTCTCCTGGGAAGTCCCAGACTTGACAGACACCCCAGTGGGTCCCCGCAGTAGCAACCTCAAAACGGACACCCCAGCAGACACCCAACAGATGCCGCCACAGATACCCCAGCTGACACCCCGAACCTCCCTCACACCCCAGCAGACTCCAACAGACACCCACAAACATCTGCTCACTTGGTTCGAGGTGAAGGGTCTGTCTGTCAGGCCGCCGGGGGAAACCCGCCCCCTGCCCCTCGCGTGCAGGGCTCTCGGGTGCGGGAGGTCAGGGACCAGGCTGGCCAGCGCTGCCTGGTCTGTCTGCACATTTGCTCCGAACCCAGCGATGCTGCCCACCCCAGGAGATGGACATCGGTGGCTGAGGGAGCTGCCGTGGGCGCTGGGCACCTGGAGCAGGACCCTCCTCCCAGAGCCCCCTAAGCAGGGGCACTCGGGGGGAGCCCGGGCTGGGGATGGAAGGGCTGAGCGCCACACGGGCTGGAGGGTCAAGCAGAGTGCCTAGCTGCCCGTCCCTGTCCCCTCCCTCTGCCCCCCACGCCTCTCTGTCCTCTAAGTGTGTCCCAAGGGGAGCCCAGAGTGTCCTGGGGTAGGGGCAGGGGCAGGGCCTCAGGCGGGAGGAGAGACACAGCCTGCCGGGGCAGTCACCACCGTCAGAGCAGTGGGATGGACATCAAGGGCCCGGGGGCTGGACTGGGGAGGGGGTGCGGGTGCATCCCCGCCTCCTCTCACTCCGTGCCCCAGCAGGACGGGCCGCTGTCCACGGTGCTGCCCCGGCCGCCAGTTGGAGCCTGGGGTGAGGGGCCACTGCAGGGGCCTCTGGCCAGGAGCTACCCACCCAGTCCGGGGAGAGGCGGCTGGAGGCTGGCCCAAGACGACCCCTCAGGCCTCTCGGGCTGGGCCTCGGGCTGGTCCCCCCCCCCCCCCCCCGTATCTGCTCTAGACCCACAGGGCTAGCCAGTGGGGAGAGGCGGCCAGGGATGCTGAGAGGAAAGGTGAGTGCGCTCACCCCACACCCCTCCCCCCCGAAGGTGGGGTCACACCCCGAGGGTCCTGCACCAGCTCCGTCTCCCTCCAGCCCCCTCCACCCCCGCCCCCCTCGATCCCTCATCCCACCCGCCCCGCCATCACCCCGCCTCCTCCATCAGACAGGGCCTCTCTGGTCCCGGCTCTCCTCCCAAAGCTCCCCGCTACGAGCCACAAGCAGAGGGGCCCTACCAGCCAATGTGAAGCGTGACAGGCCCGCTCTGGACCCATCCTTTTCCCCCCTTTTTTCTTGGTTTTGGGGCCACACCTGGCAGTGCTCAGGACTGACTCCTGATTCTGCGTCGAAGGGTCGCCCCGGCAGTAGCAGGGGCTGCAGGGATCAAAGCTGGGTCTGCTGCCCGTCCAGTGCCCGCCCTGCTGTGCTATGGCTGCGGACGCTGCCAGATATTCTTTTTTTTCCTTTTCTTTTTGGGTCACACCCGGCAAGGCTCAGGAGTTCCTCCTAGCTCTGCACTCAGGAACTACTCCTGGCGGTGCTCCGGGGACCCTATGGGATGCTGGGACTTGAACCCGGGTCGGTCGCGTACAAGGCAAACGCCCTCCCCGCTGTGCTATCGCTCCGGACACTGGACCGGATCTTCTTAGGTCCTCCTGATGGTCCCGCCCACCCAGCCACCCGCCCAGCTCCCCACCCGGTCCTTCCTTCTGCCGTCTCTGCACCTGACCTTTATCCCGCCACGGGCTAAGCCTGGAGCCCCCCACATCCACCAGTGCAAACAACAGCCTCTGAGGGCGCCAGGGCTCCCAAGGGTGTTTGGCTCCGAGGGCCTGGGGAGAATGGGGGGCAGGCAGTGTCCCCGGAGGGAAGCCCCCTCTCCAGGCACAGGCTGGCGAGGAGCCCGCTGTTGGAAGTGGGGGTCCCAGGACCCACGGGCCCCCTTCCTGGGGGTCCCTGAGGCCTGCCCCCTGCCACGCTCCCATTCCAATTCCGTCCAACTCAGGGCGGATGGTTACCATGGAGACGTCCTTGGGCCTGGGCCGGGAGGGGCAGGAGCTCTCGGCAGCTCTGTCCTCTGAAGCCCGCAGCCTTTGAAGGTGTGCTCTGCTCACAAGGGGGGCCCGCCTGGGCCTGGGCCCCAGCGCCTCTGTGAGCTGCAGTTTCATCTCCCGAAGCCGCAGCTCGGGGGCGAGAGGGGGGCTGGGAGGCCTGTGCGCAGGTGGGCTCCCACACCAGTGCTCCCAAATGTGTCGCGCCTTCGATCTTGCTGCACTGGCAGGGCCGCGGGGGCCACCCCAGGCGGCCGAGGTGCTGGCCTGGGCCGTGTCCCTGGGGCCCCTGCAGCCGGGCACTCAGCCTCCTGCGGAAGCCGCGCCTGCCTGACACCCACGGGCAGCTGGGCCAGGGGCTGGGCTCCCTGCTTTGGTCTGCAGGCAGCTCGGCTCTGCACCAGGAGAGGATTTCCAGGGGGCTGTCAGAACCCAGATGTGGGGGCGTCAACTGTGAGGGTCTGTGAGGCTGAAATCCACACCAGCGGCCCAGGAGGCTGTGACTAGGCCTGCTGCCCCCTCCTCCAGGAAGTCTTCACTGATTGATGGAGCGTCCCTGGTGACTTGGGCGCCTAAGCCCCGCAGGGCAACCCGAACAGGTGGAGGAACCGCCACCGGCCTGGCCCTGGGGAGCTGGGACGGAGGAGGGGGAGTGGGGAGGGGGTCCCTGGGTCTTGGCAGGGGCAGGGAGACGTCCAGGAAGGAGAGAGCAAGGCAGGTGTGAGGCCGCCAGCCCTGTGCCCGGCTGCAGCCGGTGCTCCACCCTGAGGGGCCTGGGGCCTCGGAGCCCCCGGGACCCCGCCCGGAAGCAGGAGATGCTGGGCCAGGCTGGAGTCGGGTGGGGCGGGCGGAGGGAAGAGGCGGGAAGGGAGGGCGGGAGGAGGGGGAGGGGGAGGGGCGGGGGAGGGGCGGAGGGGGGAGGCAGGACCCGGGCGCTCAGCCCAGGGGCAGAGACCCCGGCCTGGGGGCGGGCACAGGGCCCCAGGTGCGACTGTGGGGGGACCCAGCGGCCCCTCCCAGCCCCTCCCACCGGCGCTCACCGGGCGCCGGCAGGGCCGGGCGGGACTCTGCGGGCGGAGGGTCCCACTGCGCTGGGCCGGGGCGGGGCGGACCCTGCGCCTCGCCCCTCCCCCCGCCCCTCCCCCTCGCCTCCTCCCTCCCTCCTCCCCTCCCTCGCCCCGCCCCGCCCCCCCCTCCTCCCTCCTCCCTCCCCGCCGGCAGTGGCGGGACGGCCGGGTCGCCGCAGCCCGCAGCCCGCAGCCCGCAGCCCCGCGCCCGGCGGACCGGACCTGCGCCTCGGCCAGGCGCGGATCGGGGCCTCGAGGGGGTCGCGGGGGCCGGAGCGTCCGTCCGAGCGGCCGGGCCGCGCGCCATGGAGCTGGGGGGCCGGGGGGCGCGGGCGCCGCCGCTGCTGCTGCTGCTGCTGGGGGCCGGCCTCCTGCGCGGTGAGTGCGGGGCGGGGCGCGGCGAGGGGCGCGGCGCGACCCCCGGCCGGCGAGGGTTAAGCGGGCGCCCCGCCGGAGGGGAGGGGCTGCTGCTGCGCCCGCGGGTGGGGGCGCCCCTCCCCCCCTCCCCCTGCACGTTGGCGCGGGGGGCTGGGCCTCCCCCACGCCCGAGTCTCTGCCCCGCCCCAACCTGCCGGGGGTCGCTCTTGGGAGCCCAGGGAGGCGCGGTGGTCTGGCCGGTCGGGGGGGCCCTCCTGCCCCAGAGAGGGAGCCCGAGGGGCCCCGGGTGCGCCCCGTCGCGGCAGGGGCAGCAGCCTGGTGTCCCGCCCTTAGCCGGCGGCCACGCGGAGCCCCGGGCCCACGCCGAGGAGCGGCTGCTGAAGAAGCTCTTCGCCGGCTACAACAAATGGTCACGGCCCGTGGCCAACATCTCGGACGTGGTCCTGGTCCACTTCGGCCTGTCCATCGCCCAGCTCATCGACGTGGTACGGAGGCGCGGCGGGCACAGCCCCGGGGCTGCCTGTGGGGCGGGTCTGGGGGCCCAGGGCTCAGGGGTTCCGGCAGGTGCAGCGGGTGGGCTCGCGAGGAGTCGCCTGCCCGCCTAACTGTGGGAGAAGCCCCGGAGGCAGCCGCTCTCAGGGCCCTTGGCCATGGGGGTCTGGGCAGCCCCTTCCCGTCGGTGGCGTGAGGGCATAGGGGGTCCTCACCGGGGTGGGGGTGGCTCTGGGGGGTGGGAGGGCTGAGTCCCGAGCCAGGCCGGCTCCTGCCGTCCCCAGCCTGGAACCGGGCCCTCGCCCTCCTGCTGAGTGCCGGGTGCAGCCAGGCGCACCCCAGGGAGCTCGGGAAGGACAGGGGCCCCCACGTCAAATGCTGCTCCCCTGAGCTGGCTGCACCCACTCTCCACACGGCCCAAGAGGCCACCTGCAGGAGGGACCAGCCCGGCCGCCCCCAGCCCGCAGCTGGAGCTGCCTCCAAGGGCACAGGCCGGCTGAGTCCTCCCTGGAGATGCCGGGTACTGCGCTCGCCCGGGGTGAGCCCGCGCATAGGGGCATGGAGTGGCGGGCACAGGCTGGCAAGGGCGGCAAGTACAGGAGCTCGGGCGTCGGGCACGGGGTGGGGGAGGGGCCATGCGGGGTGGGCATGGTGGTGAGGGAGGGGTGCGGGTGGCGGGATGGGGTGAGGAGGGGTGCGGGTGGCGGGCACCGGGTTGCAAGCGTAGCTGTGGAGGGCTGGGGACGCTGTCTGCAGGGGCGCTGCCAGGCCCAGCACAGTGCCGCTCCGTCTGTGTCTCAGCTGGGGCAGAGGTCCTGACCCCACAGCCCAGGGCCCAGGCCTCCCGGCCCCCTGTCACCGCCCCGCCCTGAGCCTCCCGTGCAGCAGCCGCGCTGCCGTTCCAGCCCCTGGCCAGCGAGGGAGTCCCACACGCTCAGGGTCTGGTGGGCTCCGGAGGGGCAGCCCTGCGGGGGCACTGCAGTGGACAGACACCCCAGGGCAGGTGTTCCCCACGCCAGCAGCACCTGGGACCCACCTGAGACGCCCACAGCCTCTCCCGGGAGGTTGGGCCACGTGGACACGGGAGCACGTGTCCAGCCCTGGCCGTGCTCCTTTGTGTCCTAGGACGAGAAGAACCAGATGATGACCACCAACGTGTGGGTGAAGCAGGTGAGAGGAGCGGCCAGCCAGGGCTGGCCTTCCCCCCCCCCCCTCCCCAGCCCCCGCCCCTGCCAGCCCCCAAGCCTGCCCCTCCCCCCAGGAGTGGCGTGACTACAAGCTGCGCTGGGACCCCACCGACTACGAGAACGTCACCTCCATTCGTGTCCCCTCGGAGCTCATCTGGCGTCCAGACATCGTCCTCTACAACAAGTGAGGGTCTGGGTGGGCAAATGGGGACCCAGGAGGGGAGGGCGGGGGCTGGGGGCTCAGGACCATCGAGGGCCACCCCAGCTCGTCGTGGGTGGGGTCCCCTGCGTCTGACCACAGGGGTGCAGTGGGAGCCCTTGCACACTTCCCCCACCAGGGTCTCAGCTCTGTGCCGCTGCCCCGACCCCAGTGACACCACCTGTCCCCAAACCCACACCTGCTGTCATACTCAGACAAAGGCTCCCTGGGGCCACACCCTGCTCCAGGGCCATGCCTGGCCAGTGGCATCTGTCGGGCACCACCCCAGGGCCCAGGCTACACAACCTGGGCTACCGTCCTGCTGGCTGGATCGTGAGTGACTGATGCCTGCGTCCCCTGCAGACATCAGGGGCGCACGGGGAAAGGTCAGCTGTGCCCCAGGACTGGCCTGGGCCAGCTGAGTGACAGCCCTGGGCTCTGGGGGTGATGCCTCCAGCTGTGTGGGGCCGGGCGCACCCAGCCTGCATCCCGGTTGGCCAGTGCTGGACCGGGCATGGTGCAGAGGATGGGGCTTCGCCTTGGCGGCCCTTGGGGTACAGTCTTTCTCCTTTGGGTTTGCTGTTGGGGCCAGATGCAAACACTCGGGGCTGACTCCCGGCTCTGTGCTCAGAGATGAACCCCAGCAGGGCTCAGGGGAGGCTGTGGATGGGCTGCATCGGCCCTGGGCCAGGCCACACGGTCCCTCTATGTTCTCGAGCCTTCGCGGGCCCTCCTCTACCCCCGCCCGGGGCCGCAGTGCCCACAGGCCTCACTGGCCTGGCTTTGCAGGGGGCTGGCCCTCTGGGTCTAAGCCCCCACACTCGCCTGCGTCTGACCACAGGTGACCCCGTAGACGAGGGGGGTCCAGGAGGCCTTGCAAAGCCTGTCAGTTTGCATGGCAGTGGGCAAAGGATCGGGGCGACAGTGGTAGGGGGAGAATGCGGGCATCGGTGCAGACGGGCCAGAGAGGGAGGCTGTAGACGAGGGGTGCAGTGACCCTTGACCAGCTTGGCCCTCACCTCCTGGGCACGAACCTCAGGAGAGCGATGTCTGGACCCCACCTTGGTCCCAGCACGCTGGTCGTGCCCCCTCAGGTGGGCAGCAAGGAACGAGCGTCACCGTCAGCCCCAACAGCACCAGGGGCGGGGATGCCGGCCCGTCCCTCAGCCTGTGTCGCCCAGGCCCCCGGAGTGCAGGCGACGGGCTGCCGGGGGACGGGTGGGGGTGCAGGTGTGAGGCGTGTGGGCACAGGTGCATGGGGCAGGTGCGGCGCCCGGCCACCAGCAGGGGGCTGGGCCTCAGCCCACCGTTTCTGTCCTGCCCAGCGCGGACGGGGACTTCGCAGTCACCCACCTCACCAAGGCGCACCTGTTCCACGACGGGCGTGTGCAGTGGACGCCGCCCGCCATCTACAAGAGCTCCTGCAGCATCGACGTCACCTTCTTCCCCTTCGACCAGCAGAACTGCACCATGAAGTTCGGCTCCTGGACCTACGACAAGGCCAAGATCGACCTGGTGAGCATGCACAGCCGCGTGGACCAGCTGGACTTCTGGGAGAGCGGCGAGTGGGTGATCGTGGACGCCCGGGGCACCTACAACACGCGCAAGTACGAGTGCTGCGCCGAGGTCTACCCCGACATCACCTACGCCTTCGTCATCCGCCGCCTCCCGCTCTTCTACACTGTCAACCTCATCCTGCCCTGCCTGCTCATCTCCTGCCTCACCGTGCTGGTCTTCTACCTGCCGTCGCAGTGCGGCGAGAAGGTCACGCTCTGCATCTCCGTGCTGCTCTCGCTCACCGTCTTCCTGCTGCTCATCACCGAGATCATCCCGTCCACCTCGCTCGTCATCCCGCTCATCGGCGAGTACCTGCTCTTCACCATGGTCTTCGTCACGCTCTCCATCGTCATCACCGTCTTCGTGCTCAACGTGCACCACCGCTCCCCGCGCACGCACGCCATGCCCGCCTGGGCCCGCCGCGCCTTCCTCGACGTGCTCCCGCGCCTGCTCTTCATGCAGCGGCCGTCCGTGGTCAAGGACAGCTGCCGGCGGCTCATCGCGTCCATGCACAAGTTGCCCGGCGGCCCCCGCTTCTGGCCCGAGCCCGAGGGGGAGCCCTGCTCTGGGAGCCGGGGCCCGACTTCCTCCCAGCCCTCCGACGGCCCCCCGGACACACCGGTCAAGCCCCCGCCCTCCAGCCCAGCGGCCTCGGAGCGGGCCTCTGCTCCACCACCCCAGGAGGTCCTGAGTGGCAGCCCGGGGCCCAGCGGTGCCCCTGCTGGCAGGGGCCTGACCAGAACCTGGTCCCTCAGCACCCAGCACGTGTCCCGTCCCGGGGAAGCCGTCGGGGGTGGCGTCCGCTGCCGTTCCCGAAGCGTCCACTGCTGTGCGCCCCGAGATGGACAGCCCCAGGCCACGGGCCCTGTCACTGGCTCCCCAGCGCAGCTCCTGCCCCCAGACCCGCCCTGCGCGTGCACCTGCCGGAAGGAGCCGCCTGCACCCCCCGATGCGGCGTTCCAGGCCTGGACCCCGTCGCTCTCGCCGGCCCTGACGCGTGCAGTGGAGGGCGTGCGGTACGTCGCCGACCACCTGAAGGCCGAAGACGCCGACTTCTCGGTAAGCCCCAGCAGCCGCTTCTCCTCCATCCCGCGCCCCACGGGCCCCTGGGACTGGCCTGGCAGGTCGTGAGGCCTGGGGGCAGCTGCATCCCCACCCTTTGTGTCCACTGCTTGGTGCCTGGGGTAAAGCCCTGTCCTGCCCAGCCACTTCAGCTGGATGGTCTAGCGGGCGGGGGTTGCAGGACCACGGTCCCCAGGAAACCAGGCCAGGGGTCCCAAGCAACATGCCTGCTAAGCAGGGGCTCCAACCCCACCCTCCATCCTGGGTTAGGGACCCTGCGGGTTTGCATGGCAGCTGCCTGGACCAGGGGTCTGGCTGGTTTGGGGGCTGATGCCCAGCTGCCGTACTGGCCCCTGGGCACAGCTGCTCTGTCTGCAGTCCTGTCCCGCCCCTCTGTGCCTGCTGGTCCTGGGTAACAGAGCGAGCCAGGGACAGGCAGGGCCAGTGCAGGGGCCTGTCCGTCTTGCTCTCGGCACACCCAATCCCCAGAGGCAGGGAAGCTGTTCTAGGGCTTTCTGGAAAATTCCCCCTGGGAGAAGGGGGTCTGGGAATGCCCTTGCCAAGAGCCCCAAGCGGGGATCATGCGACGGGGCAGCCTGCAGGGACGGGGTGAGGCCCAAATGGAGTAGCTGGGCCCGAGCCAGCCCAGAGCTGCCTGCGGCTGCACCTGCCGCTTGGGCATGCTGGTCTGCTCAGCAGCAGCCTCAGGAAGGTGACCACAGGAGGGGCAGCCCAGTCCCGCTCACGGAGGCCGGTCGTCGGGCCCGCCACGAGATCTCCAGCTTCTCTGAACTGGAAGGCGCGTGAAAAACCCCGACCACCCCCACGGAGGCCCAAGGGCTCTGGCCCAGCTTGGTGGACGCTAGCCACTGTCCGGGGTGGGGCAGAGGCTGGAAAGGTCTGCTCGGCCCTCGGCACTTGTGCCATCAAGGTGGGCTGCAGGCCGCCTCAGCCCCTTCTCTTCAGCGCCTGTGTGCTGGCCTCCTGCTCCCAGCCCTCCCTGAGCCCCATGGGGCAGGGGCCCCCAGCTAGGGACAAGCTGACTTTCGTGTTGGGGCCAGGGGCTGCTGGACACTTGGCCTACAGGGCCGCACTGGGCTCGGGCTTTGCCTGCTGCCATCTGTAAAATGGGGTAGATTCAGCTTCCTTGGTTCTCCCTGCTGGGAGCCTTGGATGGGCCCCCCCGCACTGACTGACTGTCTGCGCGGCCGCTGACCGCTGTCCCTGCAGGTGAAGGAGGACTGGAAGTACGTGGCCATGGTCATCGACCGCATCTTCCTCTGGCTGTTTGTGCTCGTCTGCCTGCTGGGCACCGTGGGCCTCTTCCTGCCGCCCTGGCTGGCGGGCATGATCTAGTCGCGGCAGAGCCTGTTGGACACGAAGCCCGGCCACTGGGGTCCCCGCATGGCCCAGCAGCACCCCCTTCCGTGTCCCCGTCGAGAATGTGGGGGCTGGGAGCTGCCTGTCCCAGTCTGATTAAAGTTTCTCGGGGCACAACCACTTGACTCCTGCCAGAGTCCAGCCGGGGCTGCCTTGGCCACGGCCTCCCTCCGCTCCCACCTGGGCTGGGGCCTGGCAGGTTTCCCCAGCGCGGGTCGAGGGAGCCTTGGCTGGGGGTGGGTGAACTGGTGAAAACCCAGATCTGGGACATCGGGGACCTGCGGGGCCAGCACCAGACCCCACTCCTCGAGGGCCCCATGGCGGGGCGGGGGACACATCTCCCAGGGGTCCTGGGCTGCCCAGAGGTGGGCACTTCGGGGAAGTCTGGGGCGAGCTCCTCTGTGTGGCCCGCATGCCGGGGGGCTCGCAGGGACCCAGGAAGTTCAACAGGAGCACAGGAGCCACATCCCTCTGGCGAAGCCCCTGGGAAACGGGGTAAGGGGTTCCTGCGGAACCCACCTCAGACCTGTCCCTGGGCCCGAGATGGCGAGGGGGCTCAGATCATGTGGCCCTAGGAGTGCTTCTGGAAGGAGGGCCTAGGCTCGTCTTTGAGCCAGCTGCCCCCTTCCCTGACCCCTCGGCCCGGGGTCCCCGTGAGATCATGCCTCAGTTGACAGTGACTGGGGCTGAGCTGTGGCCACATAAAACACCTCAGGCCCAAGAGCACGAAGGACAGTGTCCAGCTCTGCCCACACCGGCGCTGTGTCACTCAGCACAAGGACACCCCGAGCTGGGCTGTGAGCTCCACAGCTTCCCCCCCTCAGGGCCACATGGCATATGGGGTGGGCGCTGTCACTGCTGATCCCAGACTCCATCTGACCAACAGCACCAGGAAAACAGCCGAAGCCCACCCTGAGCCTGACCCTGGCCAGCCTGGCTCCCCCACCCCGTAGGCTTGTCCCCAACGGCAAAGGGCAACAGCGCAGGGCAGGCCTGAGCACCTGATTTGCAAGTGTGTGGCCACAAGTTCAAGTCCCTGGGGCCTTGTGTGGGTGAAGCACAATGGCCGCCACAGTGACACAAAGGGGACCGCAGCACTGTGTCCCGGCTAGCACTGGCCCCCCCAGGCACAGGGAGCCAAAGGACACTTACTGCCCAGGTCCCTGGCCTCCAGGGTCCTTAGCGGAGAGCCAGGCCCGTCCCCACAGCTTGGCCTTGAGCTCAGGCACCGATGCCACTCCTGCCCTAGCCAGTGCAGCCTCCTGCCCACTGGGGCCCACTCTCAAGGTTCCACTTGCACTGTCCTTTCTGGAAAGTTCCGCATCCTTCGAGTCCCTGCTGTCCCTGTCTGCGTAGGTCACCTCAGGCTGCCGGGTGAGCCACATGTCAACAGCACAGGGGAAGCTGTCTGGGCCCCCAGAGCAGGGACAGCCCATCGTGCACCGGTTCTAGGCCACCTTGGGGAGGCCCTGACAAGCCCTCCTGCCTCCAGGCACCTCCGGGTGGGCACAGAGGGTCTTATCACACGGGGGGCGCTGGGGCTGGCTCTGCCGAGTCTGGAGGCGCAGGACTCAGGGATGGTGTCCCAGGGATAGTGTGGGGGACAGACAGCCCGCTCTCGTGGGGCCCCAAAGCAAGCCCTGGTCCCCTGTGCCCAGGGCCACGCCGGCCACCATCACCTCCCGGCAGTCACTTCTCACCAGCCCCAGGGATGCGGCTCAGCGGGCTCACAGTGCTGCCCAGGGGGCTGGTGGGCATTCCCCGGCCTCAAGACCCCCAGGAAAGGGAAGAGGGCTCTGGCTGCCCACACACAGCTGGGGACCCCCTTGGCCTTCTTCAGGATTCAGCACGGGGGGGCGGGCGCGAGGCTGTGGTGGGACACAGGACCTGCGACCCTCATCCTTAAGTGTGGCTCCAGGAGGGGCGCCCTCAGACCCCGCCACCACGCCAGTCGGGCACCCCTGCAGTCCCCACGGCAGCCAGCAGAGCGCGCCCGCCGCACGCAGGCCCCGCAACGCCAGCACAGGCCGCGGCAGGACAGGCAGCGACACGCGGCGGGAGAGCCCCGGGGTGGCGCCCGGCAGGGATGTGCGAGGCAGCGGTGCGGGACACAGGGGTCAGGCCCCGCGCCCCCGCCCGGGCCCTGTGCCCAAGCAGGTCCTGACCGCGGTCTCCCCACTCCCACGGGGGCTGCGAAGACCAGGAAGGGCAGGGCGTGGCCTGGGCAGCCGGCCGACCTCTCTCCTGGCCCCGCCAGAGGGCCAGGGACCCCCACGCCAGCCTGGCCCCGGCCCCGCTGCAGTCTGGCCGCAGCTCCTCCGTCCTCCCTGGCTCCCCCGACCCCCGGGGCACTTTCCCACACAGGCTCAGGGGCGCTGGGGCCCGTGTGCAGGGCGGGGTAGAGGGTTTATTAGGAGGGCGAGCTGAGGGCCGCGGCCACCCCGGCAGCAGCAAGACCCCAGAGGCCCGCCCCCCACCCCCACCCGGGGCCTCCAGGGCAGAGGCTCCTGCGGGGGCGGCCGGGGCAGGGGGCGGGTTCCAGCGCAGGCGCGGGTGGGGCTGGGCGCGGGGCGGGGCGGGGCCAGGCGGGCGGGCCGCGCGGCTACCAGTCCTGGACATCCCAGCCATCGTCTGCCAAGGTGGGGGCCGCCTTCCTGGGGGCGGGGGTCCGGCCCTCGCCGCCGCCGCCGTCGCTGAGGTCGCTGCTCCTGTTGTTGGACGCCGACCCCCACACGTCCCAGCTGTCGGAGCTCTTCTTCTCGGCGGACACGTCCGCGCAGGTCCAGCTGTCGCTGCTCGGGGACTGGCGCGCCCGGCCAGGCTCGGCGCCGCCGAAGCTGTCCCAGAAGCTCTGGTCGATGGCGCTGTTCTGGTAGCTGTCCCCCGCGCTGTTCTGGTAGCTCTGGCCCTCCGGGGGCCTGTGACGGAGGGAAGGGGGCTGAGCCCACGCACACTGCGGCACCGCCGAGGAGCTGCCCTCGCGCTGCCAGCCCCTCCTTGGGGACCATCAGACCAAGCCAGCGGCGCCCGGGGAGGAGAGGGAGGAAGGCCTGGCTTTGTGGCCTTTCTCGGTCACTGACCAGGCCAGACACCCTAGGCCCGGAGCCCCTCTGCCGCGACCCACCCAGACCCCCGGTACTGCCGAGCCGTCCTCCTCCTGGCCGCCAGGCAGGGAGCCAATAAGCCAGGGGGGCGCTGGGAGGGTCACGGCGCCCCTTCTCCCACGCCCAAGGGTGCACCTGAGGCCTGCAGTCCCTCAGCTCTGAGCTGTGCCCGGGGGAGCCCGGGGCCTCAGTGGCTCTCTGGAGGGCTCTCGGGTACGGAACATGCAGCGGGACAGGCCCAGGCAGCTGTGGAGCGGGGAGCAGCACACCTGTCCAGGTCGTCCTCTGCCCTGCCAGAGAAGAAGGAGGTGACATCTCGCCAGCCCCGGCTGCCAACGTCCTGCACCTGCGGGGCAGGGGTAGGTGAGGTGAGCTGAGGCCATGGCGGGCGGTGTGGGGTGGGGGTAGGTGAGCAGAGGCCATGGCAGGGGGGTGGGGCAGGGGCAGGGAGCAGAGCCCGGCTGTGGCCAGGAAGCAGAACACAGGCCTGGGTGAGGGGTGAGAGGCCGTTGGAGCAAGCAGGAGTGAGGGGAAGCGGAACAGCAGGTTGAGAGGAAACTCTTGCCGGGCTCCAGCCCCACCCCCAAGGGCCTGCTGGGAGGTGGAGGTCAGGTCGGGCTCAGCGGACAGAGGCCTGACACTCACCAGGGACAGGACAATGGCAGCAAAGAGGACAGAGGACAAAAGCGAGAGATCAGTGACTGGGACGGCCCCACCCTGCAGCTTCTTCAGCCCTCGAGCTGCCAGCCCCTCCCTGTGCCAGGGGGTCCGAGATGGGCCTCTGCAGGCCTGCCCGGGTCCCAGCTGGACTCCACTCCCCGGCTCACAGGGACAGCGGGGACCTGTCCCCAAGGAGGGGCACTCACCTTCTCCTGGGCCGGCTTGAGAACGTTCTCACTCAGACTCTGGCCCAGCTCGGATGCCTGGTGGGGTGAGGGGGAGGGTCACTGGGACTCGGGGACACAGGAGTCACGGAAAGGGGGAACCGAGGACGCTGGGGCACAGACGATGAGTCGGGGCCTCCTGCCACCAAGCAGCAGGAGGCCACAGCAGTGGCCTCAGGGTGCCAGTGGGAGGGCGCAGGACAGGTGAGCCAGGTGGGTGCCTGGGTGCTAGGGACAGGTACCAGGAGAAACAAGCACAGAGGAAGGTCTTGAGGGAACAAGTGTGTGACCCCAGAAGGACTTGGCTTCTGCTAAGTCGAGACCATTCAGGTGACTAACAGACACAACGACAAACAGCACCTCTGAGCCTGGGGTGACCAAAGGCTTCTCCAGGGAGCAGGCCACCCGCACCTGCAGGTGGTCTCGACCACCTGTGGCTGGTCACTGCACTGGCAGCTGACCCCGCCACCTGCACCTGGTCCCCAGCACGTGCACCTGTGTGCCCGGCAGACACGATCCCACAGCGTGTGCGGGCAGGTAGCACGCGCGGTCCAAGGGGAGCCTTACCAGCTCTGGCTGCTGCTTGGAGCCCCAGAACTGGTCCAGACAGCGTGAGGAGGAAGGCCAGGAGAGCAGGAGGAGAGCGAGGCAGAACAGCGGCATTGGGCAAAGCCAGAAGCCTCAGGCGGCATCACCCGATCCTGGCACCGCCCGACCGCCTCCATCCCCAACGGAGAACTTGCAGAACCACTCGGGGGCTTGACTCGGGGCCCAGAATCAGGGACCCCTCTTCTGCAGAGCACACCCCACCCAGGCGGAACACGTCCTGACCAGGCAACAGCACCGCAGGGCACGCCCTCATGCAGGGATCCTAAGCTTGCCACCAAGGAGGGGCCCGCAGGTGGAAGCTGCCGTGGTGTCCCCCACTCTTGGCCCCCCCATGCCCCAGACACCCTGGTACCTTCTGGGTGGCCTGGCTTCCAAACTTGGTGGCCTGAAAGCAAAGGGGTCTAAATGCAGATGCAGACCAGGGCCCTGGTGCCCAAGGAGGGGCCACGTCACCACCACCCCCAGGCCGTGGGGCACCAACGGGCCCTCCATGCTCTGGAGGAGAGGCCACATGCCGCAGTCCCCAAGCCCCCCATGAGCAGGGGGACCGCCGGACGGAGCACGCAGCCGTGGGGTCCCAGTCCCCCCTTCCCCGTCCTCTCCCACACAGGAACCCTGAGCTTACACCCTCCTTGGCGGCCGAAGCAAACCTGCTGGCTCCCGAGGTGAAACTGCTCCAGCCCTGAGGAACAGAGGCACGGGGTCAGCTGCGCGACTGCAGTGACCCAGTCGCACTCAGCACGCCGCGCACCTGCCCCACCCCTGCACTCGGTGCCCTGTACCTACCTGGAGCACCCCACCCCACTCAGTGTCCCACCCCTGCACTCAGCTCCCCCACTCAGCATCCCACCCTCAGTCAGCCCTGCACCTGCACTCAGCACCTCACCGCTGCACTCAACACTTCACCTCTGCACTCAGAGTCTGCACCTGCCCCACCCCTGCACATGGTGCCCGTACCTACATTCAGCACCCCGCCCCTGCACTTAGCACCCCCACACTTAGCACCTCAGCCCTGCACACCTGCACTCAGCACTGCACTCCTGCACTATGTCCCCACACTCAGTACCTGCCCCCATCCACACCTGCACTCAGCACTGTGTGCCTGCTCTCAGCACCCCACCACTGCCTGCACTCAGTGTCCCTGAGTGCAGGCGCTCAAACAGGTACTCACACTCAGTACCCGTCTCTGCACTCGGTTCCTCAGACCTGCACTCAGAGCCCTGCACCTGCCCACACCTGCCCTCTGCGCCTCACCCCTGCACTCAGAACCCTGCACATGCACAGCGCTACACCCCTGTACTCCCTGCCAACTGCACTCCACTCCTTGTCCATCTGCAGTGTGCCACTCCCCTCCACCCCTCCTGCCTCTCAAAGGCCAGGAGGCGGCGTCCCTCCAAGCACACTGATGCACTGATGTGTAACAGCTGCCTCCCACGTCCACCCAGCTCGGCCTCACTTCCAGAAGGGGCAGATTAACTGTCAAGACTGCCCCAGCGAGGCTGGCGCAATAGCACAGCGGGTAGGGCGTTTGCCTTGCACGCGGCCAACCCGGGTTCGATTCCCTGCATCCCATAGGGTCCCCTGAGCACCACCAGGGGTGGTTCCTGAGTGCAGAGCCAGGAGGAAGCCCTGAGCATCGCCGGGTGTGACCCAAAAAGCAAAACAAACAAAAAACTGCCCCAGCGACCCCTCTGTCGAGCCACACCATGGAAGGGGCCACGGAGCAACCCTGCCCAGGTCCCACACCATTAGCCTGAGGTGGAAAAGACGCTTTTCTTCCCAGGGACGCCCTCAGTGGGGCCATGCTCAGAGCTTCAGGCCATGCTCGGTGCTTTAGGATAAAGAATCTGCAATGGGTCACGAGCCAGCAGGGCACTGGCTTCTATGGCTGCAAGAACAGGGAAGCCCTAGTGCCCTCCTCGGGGGCCCTTGGCACCCCCCGGCCCCAGGAACAGTGCAGGCCTGAACCGAGGGCTGGAGGGGGAATGGCAGCAGCCTTGAACCCCAGCAGAGAATGCTCCATCACCACCCCATGGGTCCTCACCGAGCACAGTGACGACATGGCGTGGTTGAGGAAATCACCCTCTTTCTGGGCTGGCGGCACTGTGTTCCCAAAGCCCACGTAGCGCTTCTCCGGGGCCCTGCAGAACACAGGCAGTGTGGGGCCGGGGTGGCAGGACAGGCCCTCCCTGCAGGAACATCGTGCCCTTCTGGGGTCAACCCCCAAGTCCCCAGCCTGACCCCTGGTAGGAGCCCAGGTCCTCGCTCAGCCAGTCCTCAAAGGCCTTGTCAGAGGAAGCAGTGCTGCTTGGGGGCTGCCCAGAGACGCTGAAAGACAGGAGAGAAGATGAGGGCGCCCTGCCACCCCCAGCTCCCCGGAAACCAGGATCCCGGGGCCAGGATACCCAGCAGCTCCACCCCGCGGGGGCCCAGAACCACCAGCACCGTGGGTCCTAGTCTGCGGCCTCTCTGACTTGTGTACCCATCTGCACCCCATCCTAACGGGATGGCGCAGGTCCAGGAGAGCAGCCGCCGGACTCCCATCACAGGTGAGCCCCACAGGCTCCGTGACCAAGAGGGAGATGGGGCTACCGGGGGACGGAGGCAGGCCGCGTCTTGGGCTGGGGCGGGGTCCAGTTCTGGGCAGGGGATGTCTCCAGGCACCACTCTTTCCCTTCAGCCAACGTGGCCACCTGAGGGGGCACAGGGGGAGGGTCGGCGCAAGATCCAGCAGGGATCCGGGCATAACCCGGGGAGCCAGGCAAGACGCCCGCAGAGGCCACCAGCTGGCGTCTGCCAGGTGAGCACGGGCTGGGGGCCTTGGGCTGGGGTGTGGTGCGCCTGGACAGTGGCTCCGGCCCGCCGCAGGTCCACCTCCCCAGCCCGAGGAACGGGTGCACAGGAGACCTGGTCCCGGAAGAGGGCGGCGGCCTTGCTGCTGTACTTGTCCTGCAGGGACCAGCAGGGGTCGTAGTCCTCCTGCGCCTCCAGGAAGGCTCGAAACTTGGCGTTCCCACCCACCTTCATCTTCTCCAGCTCGATGTCCTTCCACTTGTCCATGGTGACTGAGCGCACAAAGCTGCAACAAGGACGCCCGTGAGCCCCCATCAGGCCGGGGTGCAGGCCTGCTGTCTGGCGACCGCGAGGGGCACTGACCTGAGGTGCACCCCGAGTCCACGGTGCTTCCCCGAGCACTCCAGGCAGATCCAAATGCCGTAGGTGACGCTCACCCACTGAGGGCTGAAGGCACCGCACTCGAAACACACCTGAAGGGCACAGTGCTCAGCAGGAACCCACCCCACGGCCCTCCGGGCCCCCCACCAGCCGTGCCGGCACCTACGTTGTTGTCATCTTGTACGCGCACGTCCTTGAGAACTTTCCTGGTTCTGGGACTGGCCATGATGCTGCAAAGGGGAGACGGTGGCGGTCTCACGGTGCTGCTCCAAAACGAGCCCCGAGCTAGTCCTGGGCTCACACGTGCTCCTGAGAGCAGCAGGGGCCGCCCCCCACCTCCAGGACGTGGGACCCTTCAGCCCTGCCTCGATAGGCACCGTCTCCCCAGGAAGCCCCGACAGACAACCACACACGCTCCCCGACAACCTGAGGCCAGGAAGGGACACTGAGGCACCCAAGCCCTTGCAGACTGCAAACGAGCTCTGCCCCAAACGAGACGACTACGCAGACGAGCTTTGCCCCACCTGAGTCAACTGCAGAGGAGCCCCGCCAAAACCGTGTAGATCGGCTCTGCCCCACCGAGACCGTGAGAGAGACGACCGCGCGGACGAGCTCTGCCCTGTCTGAGGTGACTGTGTGGCTGAGCACGGCCCCACCTGAGGTGTCTGTGAAGACGAGTCTGTCCCGTCTGAGGCTATTGTGTAGATGAGTTCTGCTCCATCTGAGTGACTGCGTAGATGAACTCTCCCCCGTCTGAGGTGACGATGTAGACGGACTCTGCCCCACCTGAGGTGGCTGTGTAGATGGACTGTGCCCTATCTGAGGCGACTGTGTAGACGCGCTCTGCCCCATCTGAGAGACTGTGTAGACGTACCCTGCCCCACCTGAAGTAACTGTGTAGATGGACTCTCCCCTGTCTGAGGTGACCGTGTAGACGGACTGTGCCCGTCTGAGGTGACTGTGTAGACGCGCTCTGCCGCACCTGAGGTGAATATGCAGATGAGCCCTTCCCTGTCTGAGGGGAGTGAGTAGACGGACCCTGACCTGTCTGAGGTGACCGTGTAGATGGACTGTGCCCGTCTGAGGTGACTGTGTAGACGCGCTCTGCCCCTCTGAGAGACTGTGTAGACAGACCCTGCCCCGTCTGAGGTGACCGTGTAGACGGACCCTGCCCCGTCTGAGGTGACCGTGTAGACGGACCCTGCCCCGTCTGAGGTGACTGTGTAGACGCGCTCTGCCCCTCTGAGAGACTGTGTAGACGGACCGTGCCCCGTCTGAGGTGACCGTGTAGACGGACCCTGCCCCGTCTGAGGTGACCGTGTAGACGAACCCTGCCCCGTCTGAGGTGACCGTGTAGATGGACTGTGCCCGTCTTAGGTGACTGTGTAGACGCGCTCTGCGACTGTGTAGACGGACCCTGCCCCGTCTGAGGTGACCGTGTAGACGGACCCTGCCCCGTCTGAGGTGACCGTGTAGACGGACCCTGCCCCGTCTGAGGTGACCGTGTAGATGGACTGTGCCCGTCTGAGGTGACTATGTAGACGCGCTCTGCCCCTCTGAGAGACTGTGTAGACGGACCCTGCCCCATCTGAGGTGACCGTGTAGACGGACCCTGCCCCGGCTGAGGTGACCGTGTGGACGGACCCTGCCCCGTCTGAGGTGACCATGTAGACGGACCCTGCCCCGGCTGAGGTGACCGTGTAGACGGACCCTGCCCCGGCTGAGGTGACCGTGTAGACGAACCCTGCCCCGTCTGAGGTGACCGTGTAGATGGACTGTGCCCGTCTGAGGTGACCGTGTAGACGGACTGTGCCCGTCTGAGGTGACTGTGTAGACGCGCTCTGCCGCACCTGAGGTGAATATGCAGATGAGCCCTTCCCTGTCTGAGGGGAGTGAGTAGACGGACCCTGCCACGTCTGAGGTGACCGTGTGGACGGACCCTGCCCCGGCTGAGGTGACCGTGTAGACGGACCCTGCCCCGGCTGAGGTGACCGTGTAGACGGACCCTGCCCTGTCTGAGGTGACCGTGTGGACGGATCCTGCCCCGTCTGAGGTGACCGTGTAGACGGACCCTGCCCCGTCTGAGGTGACTGTGTAGACGCGCTCTGCCCCTCTGAGAGACTGTGTAGACGGACCCTGCCCCGTCTGAGGTGACCGTGTAGACGGACCCTGCCCCGTCTGAGGTGACCGTGTAGACGGACCCTGCCCCGTCTGAGGTGACCGTGTAGACGGACCCTGCCCCGTCTGAGGTGACCGTGTAGACGGACCCTGCCCCGGCTGAGGTGACCGTGTAGACGGACCCTGCCCCGGCTGAGGTGACCGTGTGGACGGACCCTGCCCCGGCTGAGGTGACCGTGTAGACGGACCCTGCCCCGTCTGAGGTGACCGTGTAGACGGACCCTGCCCCGGCTGAGGTGACCGTGTGGACGGACCCTGCCCCGTCTGAGGTGACCGTGTGGACGGACCCTGCCCCGGCTGAGGTGACCGTGTGGACGGACCCTGCCCCGTCTGAGGCGCCTGCGTAGACGCGCTCTGCCCCACCTGAGGTGAAATGCAGATGAGCCCTTCCCTGTCTGAGGGGACCCGTGGGCGAGCTCTGCCCCCTGCGCCGACCGCGTGCCTAGTAGACAGGCTCTGCCTCGTCCGAGGTGAGGGCGGCGAGGCGCGTGCCCACCGAGTGGGGCTGGGCGACGCGCCCTGCCCCGGCCGAGCTGACCGGGCGGACGCACTCTGCCCCCGGCGCGACTGAGCTGACCGAGCAACAGCTCTGCTGCCTCCAGCCTCGGCCGCGCGCCCTCGGGAGACCCCGCGCCGCGCCTCTCACGCCCGGGCAGCCAACACCGGTCCTGCTCCCAAGGCCGCCGCGGCCACCTGCTGCCCGGCAGCGGCCCGAAGAGGTGATGGAGGGGCAGGGGCGGGGGGAGACGGGAGCAGGCGGGGTCCGAGGGGCGGCCCGGGCAGAGTCGGCGCGGACGGGGCTGCGGGGGGCGCGACCCCGGGGAAGCGGGGCCGGGGCGGGGCGCCGGGCGGGGGGCGGGGGCTCGCGGGGTCGCGGCGCGGCGAGCCCGGGGGTCTCCGCGGGGAGGGCGCTTACGTGGCGGGGTCCGGCGCCGGTGTCCGGGCGGGAGGACGGGCCGCTGCGCACGGAGGTCGCCGGCCGCCCACCGGCCGCCACCAGCTTCCGGCTACGTCGTGCTTGGCCGCAAGGCATGCCGGAGCGTGGGGGCCGGGGCGGCGCTTCCGGGGCGGGGCGACCTGCGGCCCCGCCCCGGTCTCCGAGGAGACGCGTGGGGGCGGGGCGGCGGCCCGAGGCCCGGGGCAGGCGGCGGGGCGGCCGCTGGGGGCGGCCGGACGCGGGCCTGGCCGCGGACCGGCCTCCTGGCCCCGCTCCGGCACCAGACGGCAGAGCTCGGGCGGTCCGGGCGGTCCGGGTTCCGGAACCACGAAGCGGGCGGAGGGAGGGAGGCCGGGGATGGGCGCGGGGTCGCGAACGGCCTCCCGCGCACACGCCCAGGCTCCGTGTGCAGCGCGCACAGGCGTCGCGCACAGGTGACATGCTCTGTATCTGTACAGGTGTTACCGCTGTATCTGAACCTGTATCTGTACAGGTGTTACCGCTGGGCGGCAACGATAGAACCGGGGAACCGCTCGCCTTGCATACGGCCAGCCGGGTTCCATCCCAGCACCTCACGTGGTCCTCCAAGCCTTTCCAGGAGTGACTCCTGAGCACTGTCAAGTGGGGGCCCCCAAATTAAAAAAAAATCACACAGATGTTCTGCACTGTCACACATGGTAAGAGAAGGCGTCATGTGCAGATGTGAACAGGTGTCATGCACAGGTGTGTGCTGGTGTCCGTGTAGGAGTCATGTAGTATATCACATAGGGTGTCACACGTGAGCATCACACACATAGCTAACTGCACAACGTGTGTGAAAACAGGCCCCAGTAAGTGGGGGCCCTGGAGGGAGCCGTGCCCTGTGAGGCCCACGGAGAGGGGATGGCCTGGAATGGGAGGCTCTGAACAACTGCAGACCCAACCAAGGAAACCCCTGTTGTTGGACTCTTCAAAGAAATTTGCCAACACTCTGGCCCAGGCTTCTGTCCAGTGGTTGGAACTGGTCAGTGCTGGAGGCCGGTTCTGTGGTCTTGGCTGACCCACTGTGTGGCTGGGGTGAGGGATGGACAGGGAGCACCCCCAGGCACCCCCAATAGCTGGCTAACGAGGTCTCCATCAGTGCCCCTGAGGACGTCCAAGACCCTGCGAGGTCCCTTCTGTCATCTTCACCGTAGTGAACGAGGCTTCTGGGGCAAGACTAAGCATTGCCCCTGCAGCTCCTTTGTTTACCTCCACCACCCAAGTCCGAGGCAACAGCATGTCACACCTCTGAGAAACCAGGAGAACCAAGAGAGGGGGTCCCTGCAGAACCCAGGAGGACCAAGATGGGGCACCCCACAGGACAAAGACGGGATGTCTCTGCAGCATGGTTGGTCCCCGGGTATTCACTTGGGGGAAGGGCAATCACCTGGGGGGCTCACCTGGGGTCCCGGTGTCACTGCCCTGGACCCCCAGCAACAAGAGAGCCTGCCCTTCGAATTCTTGTCTACTGCCAGGCTTGAGACCATGCCTGCGCATGGCGTGAGGAGTCTCAGCTCCCCGCCTCCTCAATCCCCATAGGTCAACTGGACGGGCGAACCTCCTGAGCACGCCTCTGGAGCATGCTTGCTCCTACTCCTCACCAGCACCGATGTGGTCCTGGAGCCTGGGGTGGCGGCCAAGGCCCCATCCACCCACCCTCCTTTCCCCCTCTTCTGCCAAAGCACGGGTGGGCCAGGACAAGGTGCACAGGGCCGGGGGTGGGGGTGGGGGGCTGTGTGGGCCTCTGGAGCCGGGCAGGCAAGTAGAAAAGGGGGAATTTTGATGAGCAGAGCTGGATATAGAGCCCACTGACCCCTGCATGGGCCACTCTCCAGAGCAGACACTGAAACAGGTTGGACCCTGTGATGTGCAGAAAGTGAGCTGCCACCAAGTCTGGAGTGGGCACCCATAGGGGCTTTGGAACCCACAGACCCCAGAGTGGGACATGGCTGTGGGGTTGGAGACTTGGGTGGGGGCAAGGCCAGCCAGGGACGGGAAAGAACAGTGCTGGTCAGCCTGGCCCCTGCAGCCTGGGCAGCGAGACCTCCCTTCACTGACGGACCCGCAGACTGTTTGGGCCCTATAGGGAGCCTACATGACTTCCACCTCATCTGAGCATGTTCACCCCGCTTCAGACCGCAGTGTCTTCTGGCGGCTATCCACACCTGTGTCTTAGGCCAGACTGAGCAGAAGGCCGAGGGGAGAGAACGGCGGGGGCCCTGTGACCACATTCTCAGGGTCAGGATGTGTTCTGCTGCCTGTGCGCGATCAACGGCCCCAGCCATGAGAACACGGGGCTTGCCCGGGTTTGGTTTAGACTAGCTAGATCAGGGACTTGGCCCTGGTGGGAGAAAAATGAATGGCATAGGCCGAACAGGTGAGGGTGGCATCCACCTGGCACCCCTCCTCCCTCTGAGGGTCACCTCAGGCTGAGAGGCCGAGAGCATGACCTGATGCTCACAGGGATGACAGCCTCACCCTGGAGCAGCTGAGGGCTGGGAGATACTCAGCCCTGTGGTCAGTCCTGAGTTCCAGCACTGTCTCCAGACTACAGTCAGCCACCAGACACAGACTGGCTGTTTGTCCCACACATTTGGGACAGGCCTATCCCTGTCCCCGAGGGAGCTGTGGGAAGGAGTCAGCCTGCCAGAGATAAGCAGAAGCAGGATAGGAGGGGCAGGAGAGCAGGAAAGGGGGTCCCGGGAGAATGACATGCGGAGGCACCTGTGTAAGGCTGGGCAGGAAGAGAGCAGCCAGCTCTGGGCCCTGGCTGACTGACAGTGGCACCAGGCCAAGAGCTCGGTCAGCAGGGCGCTTTTCCCTCAGCTGCTCAGTGAATTCCAAAAGGAATCCTGGACTCGGCAAGGAGCTTTCCAAAGTGGGGGGGGGGGTGTGAAACCTGAGACACAAGTCAGTCTCTCTAGGCCACTCCTGAGTGGGCAGGGCCGAAGGAACCTCAAGAATAGCACAGAAAACACCTGTGGAAAAAACACCTGCAGAGAAAACACCTGCAAAAAAAAAAAACACAAAAAAACACCTGCAGGGGCTGGAGGAATAGCACAGCGGGTAGGGCGTTTGCTTTGCACGTGACCGACCCGGTTCGATTCTCAGCATCCCACATGGTCCCCCAAGCACCGCCAGGAGTGATTCCTGAGTGCAGAGCCAGGAGGTAACCCCTGAGCATCGCCAGTTGTGACCCAAAATGCAAAAAAAAAAAAAAAGCCACCTGCAAAAAACACCTGTAGAGAAAAACCGCCTGCAAGGAGAACACCTGCAGAGAAAAACACCCGCAAAAAAAAAAAAAATCTGCAGGGGCTGGAGCAATAGCACAGCGGGTAGGGCGTTTGCCTTGCACGTGGCTGACCCGGGTTCGATTCCTGGTATCCCATAGGGTCCCCGGAGCACCGCCAGGAGTGATTCCTGAGTGCAGAGGCAGGAGTAACCCTGAGCATCGCCGGGTGTGACCCAAAATGCAAAAAAAAAAAAAAGCCACCTACAAAAAACACCTGCAGAGAAAAACACCTGCAAGGAGAACACCTGCACCGAGAACACCCGCAGAAAACACACCCGCAGAGAAAAGCAGCCGAAAGAACCCCCGCAGCGAGAACCCCCGCGGAGAAGGCCCGGGAGGGGCGTCCTGGGGGAGCCCCGCCGCGTCCGGGTGCCGGAAGGCTGGGTGGCACCGGCCGCACCGGGCCCCGTCTTGCCCAGCTGGTCCCCCGGGGGGGGGCTGTGCCGAACCGGACCCCAGCCCTGCGGCCCAGCGCCGGGACAGGGCGGACGGCCGCGCGGGGCGGCGCTGCCGGTCCGGTCCGTCCCCGCACCGGAGCGAGGGGTCAGCGCGTGGACCCGGAGCCTCGCGCCGGCGGCGGGGGCGGGGGGCGGCGGCGGCCGGCGCGGGGGGAGCGGGGGCCGCGCCCACTTCCGGCCGGGCGCTCGCGCCCCCGGCACTTCCGCTCGGCTGCCCGCGCGAGACTCGGACCGGGGCGCGAGATCCGTCCCTCCCGGAGGTTGTGCGCAGGCGCGGCGCGTGGCGGCCCGCGGCGCTCCCGGCCTGCCCCGCGCGCGTGACGTCACCGCCTCGTCCCGCCCCCGCCGCCGCCGCCGCCGCCGCCGCCGCCGCCGCGCCGCCATTGGGGTCGGCGCCTCGTCAGGGCGTCCGCGTCCCCGCGCCCCCGCGCCCCCGCGCCGCCCGGCCGCCGCCCCGGCCCGCCGCCCGGGAGGAGGCGGCGCCGAGCGGGGGGCCCCGCCCGCGCGTGGATGAAGCATGTCGGCCACCAGCGTGGACCCGCAGGTAGCGGCGCGGCGGGCCGGGCGGGGCGGGGCGGGGGGGCCGGGGGGCCGGGCCGGGGGCGCGGCCGCGCCGGGGACTCTCCGCCGGGGGGAGGGGAGCGGCGGGGGCGCCGCGGACCCGCCCGCGGAGGGAAGGAAGGGAGGGCCCGGCGCCCGCCGACGCCCCTCGGCCGGGGGTGGGGGTGGGGGTCCCCGTCGCCGCCCGGCGGGGGTCCCGATCGCCCCCGGGTGGGCTTGCCCCGTCCCGGCCGGGGCGCGGGGCCCCGTTGCTCCCGGCCCTCAGGCCCGCGCTTCTCCAGCACAGAACGGGCCTCTGCATCGGAAGGACGCGGGCCCCGACCCCGACTCTGAGCCCCGCCTTCCGGGACCGTCCGGCCAGGTACGCAGCCCTCCCGCTGGCCTCTCTCGCCTCCAAGCGGCCCTTGGGTCGCGGCCCTGCTCGCCCAGGCCGGCCGACTGACAGCGGGGGGTCCCCGCGGGGACTCGCGCCGGGCCGGGCCGGGCAGCTGGGGGCACCGCGGGCCACACTCTGGCTCCTGGCTCCGCCGCCTGCCTTCTCTCTGCGGGCCTTCGGATGCACCTGCCGCCTCGGAGCTGGGGGGCACCCGTCGAGCCCCGCGAGGTGCTGCGGGTTTCCCTGTGGCTCTGGGCTTTCGGGAGGGGCGTCCTGCTTGAGGGCTGGAGCCCGGTGGCCGCGCAGGGCGGTGCTGGCTCCTCTCTGGTCGACCCGCCCTTCCTGCCCGCCCTGCGGCCCTGCAGCCTCGATCTGCCGGCTGTGCCTTCCAGACAGGCACCCTGCAGCAGGGCCAGGTGTGGCATTGGCCAGGCGGCCCCCAGGAGTGTTGCATGGTGGGGAGGAGCTTATGCAGCTCCTTGCCCAGCACCAGGGAGTGTGAGGGGCCTGCAGTGCTGCCCTGGGGGAGATCACATGCAGAAACCTCGGGAGGGTGAGGCCTTACGGCTCCCCCTGGCAGTGTTGAGAGCCCTGCTCCCCGGAAACGCCCCCTCCGTTCCTGTGCTCGCTGGTGGCTGCCCCAGGCCTGCAGCAAGCGCTCCCGGAAATCACGGCCTCTGCGTGTGGTCTCCGCTGATGAGACCACCTGACCCCATCCCAGTGAGCCGTGTGCCGCGGTGCCCCACCCCAGCGCAGCGGGAGATTTTTCTCTCTTAGAGCCTTTGTGATATTTGGGGTGGACCTGGCTATTTATTCAGGCGTACCCTATCAATTAACTTGAGGTGGTGGCATCCCTCAGGGGATGTGGCCCTGCCTGGGACCCACCAGACAGCCCGGTCAATCAGCCTTGTGGCACGAATGCAGGAAAGACACCGACAGAGCGGAGGGCTTGTTGGAGGCCAGGTGGGCTGGGCACTAGGCTGCCCTGACCTTGCCTGCTCCGAACCCCCTCCCACCCCAGCCTGGCTGCTTCTCCGCAAGTCCGGGGAAGGCTGGGGCTGCGGTGTGGCCTCGCCTGGGGAGACCTGGGGGCCAGCGGCCCCTCCCAGCAACGCCTGGCCCAGCAGTGCAGTTCTGCGGAGACCTGGAATTGGGGGGTAAGGCTGTCCCCCAGCAATGTGTGAGAAGTATGGGTGCCCAGGACTGAACTGGGCGGCTCTGCATGCCGGGCGCCAGCTCCAGCTTGGAAGTTCTCTCTTCCCTTTTCCTTTCTAATGCCTCAGTGTGGTAGACAGGAAACGTTCCCCTTGCCTGCTCCGTTACGAGAACGTTTGTTTTTGGGGGGGCTTTTTAAAATTTTGTCTTCTGGGGACCACGTGGGATGAATGGAGACGTTACTGGCACCCGCTCGAATAAATCGATGAATAACGGGGATTAAGTGATTAAGTGATAAGTGGGGACCACGTGGGATGCTGGGGATTCAACCCGGGTAAGGCGTGTGCAGGGCATACACCCTCCCTGCAGACTATTGCTCTGGCCCACAAGAAAGTTCTAGAAGGCTCCTCCCATTTTGCTCCTGCCCACTGGTGCTGTGAAGCTGTCCGAAGACCGGGCTGTGGCTGCAGCTGGCTCGTCTGCTCCTGCTGGCTGTCGGCTCTGTGTGTCTGGTGCTCTGGGAAGTGCTTCTCCCTCTGGAACTCCACAGGCCCCCACCCTGCCTTGTCTTTCGTTCTTTTTATTTTGTTTCTGGGCCATGTCCGGTGGTGCTCAGGGGTTGCTCCTGGCTCTGCACTCAGGAATCACTCCTGGCAGGCCCAGGGTCCAAATGGGATGCCAGGGATGGAACCGGGTCAGCCACGTGCAAGGCAAGTGCCCTCCCCACTGTAGTCTCTGGCCTGCCGGCCCTGCCTTGTTAGGGGCCCACCCCATGTCCTCACCTGCCATGGCCAGACCACATGGTCTCCCCTTGCAGCGCAGAGCAGAACCTCCCGAGAACAGCAGCTGTGCCCACAGGCAGGGATGGACTGTGTGGGCCCTCACAGGCTGGGCTCTCCCTGGTGCCAGCCCTCTGTGGGTGGGGGTGGAGCACTGACCGAGTCCCTGAGGGTCAGCTCCGGGCGTCCACCCTGCAGTCAGCCCCATGGATCCCAGCCCTGGCCGTGTCTTGGGGCTTCCCCCGAGGACCATGCCACCAGGTGTCCAGTTCAGGCCCCGGTGTCACCTTGCATCATTGCCCAGTGCTCTTCCTCCCGGTGTCTCCACTGTGAGACACCCCAGGCTGATGGCTGTCACCCCTTTCAGAGGGCTCTGTGTCTGCGCCACCTTGCTGTCTGTGACTGTTCAGAATTCCTTCCTTCCTTCAAAGCAGACTGGGAAACCGTCGTCCTAGCTTCCCACCAAGGGCTGCTGGTGGTTGAGGTGTGCGCGATTCTAGGGCTATGAGTCTCCAAGATGATCCGTTGCGGGGGGAGGGGGCGTGCTGACACTGCCCTCTTTTGCCAGTGTGTGTCAGTGAATGTGGGGAGGTGATGGGTGTATTTGATTGCGTGAACAAATGTGTCTGGGTGTGTGAGTCTACATACATAAGTGAGTGTGTGTGAGTGATTGCTTTTGAGTGTGAGTATGTGGTTATGTGTGTTTGCATGTATGTGTGAATGTTTTTGAGCATGTGTATGTATGATTGCATTAACGAGCAAGTATAAGGTACGTGTGTGAATACACGTGCATTTATGTGTATGACTGTATATGTGAGTATATGGACGTGTGTGTGTCTACGCATAGGTATGAGTTCATAGAATCTACATACATGAGTGTGTGTATGTGTGTGTACGTGAGTATGTGTGTGAGTATACGTGAGTGTGTGTCACCACCTTGTGGACCATCTTGATAGTGTCAGGACAGTCCTGTTTGTGAACATGCTGCATTCTGGTTTTGAGGGCTGCTGTGACCCTAACGGCCCTCCCCCGAGCCCTCTTGGCCCAGGCATCCTGCTGCAGTGTTGGTTGGTAGTGGTCTTTGCGGGCACTGCCTGCTTGCCTTGGGCCAGAGAGCTGCGCTGGGGCGACGAGTCGAGTTTTGCGCTCTCTGAATTGAGACCAGAAGCTGTGGCCTCCTGAGTCCCCGGGCCGGGTGTCTGCCCCAGCCGGGGATCACGCGCGGCCGCTCATGATGGCGCGCCAATGAGGCCCTTCCTGCCCGGTGAGGACAGGAGGCACCGGACAGGACTGCTGTGAGTGGGGCGTGCTGGGACCTCCAGCGGACACGTGGCAGATTCAAGTGTGGGATCTGCTCCCTGTGGGTGCCTTCAGGTGTCCAAGGAAGTGCAGTGATGGGGCTGGAGCATTGAACAGCAGGGAGGGTTTTTGCACGCATCTGACCTGGGTTCGATCCCTGGCACTCCATTATGTCTCCAGAGCTCACCAGGAGCCAGGAGTAATCCCTGGGCACTGCCGGGTGTGACCCGATCCCCCTGCACCCCCCAAAAAAGCTGTGGCCCAAACAGGCCGGTGGGGGAGGGGTGGGTGGATGATGGACTGGTAGGTAGGTGGTGGACAGAGGATGTTCTGGCAGACGTGGCTGGGCCCCCTTGGCAGGACTTGGACTGGGGTAAGCCTAGAAGACAGCCCCTCCCCGCGGGGGACCGGTCCCCCTGTCCCCGGGAAGCAGAGCAGCACAGCTTCCCCGCAGGGCTTCCAGCCCCTGCTTCCAGCCTGCCCTGCTTGGGCTCTCCTGCTTGGGCCGCGGGGACCTGGGCAGAGCTCGTTCCTATCTGAGGCCCTTGGCGTACAGTTTCTGGAAGACGTGAGGCAGGAGCTGGGCCAACTGCAGAAGGCGAGCGGACACCATGCCCTTCTGTCCTTTCAGGCTGCAAGGGGCCTCTTGGCCTCAGGCCCCCTGCACTGCCCAGGAAAGTCGCATCCCCTCCAACAGTGGCTTAGGGGCAGGGCACCCACTTGCCCCGATGGACTTCACGCCCGGGCAGCTCTGGGAGCTCTGTCCAGTCCTGCCGCCACCAGTCAGGCCCGCTGCCCTGCTCACTCGGGGAGGGGAGGGGAGGGGAGGGGAGGGGAGCCGGCCTGAGGGTGCCTGCCCTGCCCCGGGAGCCTTCTGCACTGGACTGTCCCTGCTTATGCCACGGCTGCGCCAGTGTCCTTGCCTCACATCTCCAGGTGACACCTGGGTGCGGCCTCTCGCCCCTTTCCACCGGCCCTGCCCTGGAAGCTGTCTAATTGGCCCTCCTTTGCCTCTGCAGGGGAACACTTACCCGTCCATGGCCGACCCCTACCTGTCCAGCTACTACCCCCCGTCCATCGGCTTTCCGTACTCTCTCAGTGAGGCCCCCTGGTCTAGTGGAGGGGACCCCCCGATCCCCTACCTCGCTCCCTATGGACAGCTCAGCAATGGAGACCATCACTTCCTGCACGATGCCGTGTTTGGGCAGCCCGGCGGCCTGGGCGGCAGCATCTACCCTCACCGGCTTAACTTCTTCCCCGACAACCCTGCCTTCTCTGCCTGGGGGGCGAGCGGGGGTCCGGGGCAGCAGGCGCAGGGCTCGGCCTACGGGGGCAGCTACACCTACCCACCCAGCTCCCTGGGCGGCACCGTCGTGGACGGGCAGACGAGCTTCCCAGGCGACACGTTGGGCAAGGCCACGGGCATGAGCAGCCTGGAGCAGGGCGTGGTGGGCCTGAAGATCGGCCAAGTCTCTGCCACGGCCAGCAAGCCAGGCCTGGGTGCCAGCAGCACGGCGGTGACAGCTGTCCTTCCGGCGGGCGGGGGGGCAGGTGTGAGTGGGCCCGTCCCCAAGCCCACCTCGTGGGCGGCCATCGCTAGCAAGCCAGCCAAAACGCAGCCGAGAATGAAAGCCAAGAGTGGACCCGGGGCCGGGGCCGTGCTGCTGCCTTCACCCATGAAGCAGCACATGGTCATCGGCACATGGGACGGCCAGGGGCCTGTGCCCAAGGCTGCAGTGGCCCAGCCGGTGCCCCCAGCCCTGCCAGCCAGCCAGTCGCTGCCCGCCCAGCCTCCCACCGCAGCCCAGCCACCACCGCAGGCGCGCTGGGTCTCCCCGCGCAACAGAAGTGCAGCGTTTGGACAGGGCGGCGGGGCTGGGGGGGACGGAAGCCCTGCGGGGAGCGGCCAGCCTGGCTCTGGCCCGAGCACCGAGGCCCACCCTGTCCTCGAGCGCCTGAAGGCCGCGCACAGCTACAACCCCGAAGGCTTCGACTGGGACCTGCGCGGTGGCCGCGCCTTCATCATCAAGAGCTACTCAGAGGACGACGTGCACCGCTCCATCAAGTACTCCATCTGGTGCAGCACGGAGCACGGCAACAAGCGCCTGGACAGCGCCTTCCGCGCCTCCCGCAGCGCCGGGCCCGTCTACCTGCTCTTCAGCGTCAACGGCAGCGGCCACTTCTGCGGGGTGGCCGAGATGAAGTCGGCCGTGGACTATGGCGCCAGCGCGGGGGTCTGGGCTCAGGACAAGTGGAAGGGCAAGTTCGACGTGAAGTGGATCTTCGTCAAGGACGTGCCCAACACCCAGCTGCGGCACATCCGCCTGGAGAACAACGACAACAAGCCCGTCACCAACTCGCGCGACACGCAGGAGGTGCCGCTGGACAAGGCCCGGCAGGTGCTGCGGATCATCGCCGCCTACAAGCACACCACCTCCATCTTCGACGACTTCTCGCACTACGAGAAGCGGCAGGAGGAGGAGGAGGTGGTGCGGAAGGTGAGCCCCGGCGGCGCCCGCCTCCCCGCTGCTGCCCGGCGTCCCCCTGCCCCTTGTGCCCCCGCACTCCGAGTCACCGGCACCCAGTGGGTGAGCTGTGCGCCCTTGGCCGGGCTCCCAAGCTGCTCAATCCCGTGGCTGGAAGAGGCGTCTCCTCAGCCTGCCCCAGAGCCCTGGCCAGCACCCGGAGGGTCACCCGGCCCCCACCTAGGAGGGGCCCCCTGCGCGCCCGGCTCTGGTACCCTTGACCTGTCCCTGACGGGTGGAGACACCAGTCCTCTGGCCCCCTCAGACACAGCCTCTGAGGTGAGAGGGAGGGGCCGTGGCCCTGGCGGGCCCAGCGCAGCCAGCAGCGTCAGCGGGCCCTGCCCCCGGCTCCTCCTGGGGCCCGGCGCACCGCCTCCGGCCTCCGGGTCGGCTCTGCTCCCTGCTGGTGTGGGGCGGCTCCTTTGGCCCTCGGGAGCGCGGAGAGCCTCGAGCCTGCGGCCCTCCCTCCCCTGTGCTGCCACACCGTGACGGTGCCTGAGTGCAGGACGGGCAGGTGCACGTGGTGGCTGGACTGGGCGGTTCCCGCTGAAGCCTGGGTGACAGCAGGGGCCCCCCAGGACCCTGCCTCTGACCACCTGCATGATTCAGAGCCTAGGGTGCTCGGAGCAGCCCTTGCTGTCTCCCAGGTGCGCTTCCCCACAGGCGGCCAGAGTGCAGGGCACGGCGGGGTCAGGGGCTTGGGCCGGGGGACAGGGCGAGTACTGGGGGGTGTGGGTGCAGGAGCATACAGTGACTGCCCCACCCAGGTGCTGTTTGGGAGGGCCAGCATCTGGAAGTGTGCGAGGGGGTGACCGGGTGGGGAACAAAGACCAGACCTTGTCCCGCCCAGAGGGTGTCCTGCTTGGTGCCCGCACGGGCTACGTCTTGGGACACAGCCGGGCAGCTCCGGGCCTTGGGGTGCAGAGCCAGGCTGGGCAGGTGGAGGGAGGTTGGGGTGTGGCCGGTGCTGCCCACGTGTCAATACGGTGTTCTTTCTGGCCACAGGAACGACAGAATCGAAGCAAGCAGTAAGGACCCGCATCTGCGCTACGTGCCAGGGAAGGTGCTGGGCCGCGCCTGGCCGCCCCGGGTGCAGGAAGAAGACAGACTGCCCAGTCCAGCTCAAAGACGGGGTTTTATTTTGGCAGAATTGTGTTTTTACTCGTCCCAGCATAGCCATTGAACCCCTCACAGCTCCTTTTCTCGCCCTCTGCCCGTGGGGCCGTGAGATGCCGGAGTCTCGTCACTTCTCATGTCCTCATCCGACGCTGAAGGCCGGGGGAACCCAGCACCCAACGCGCCATTTCTGTGACCTGGTCCTGTCCGTCCCTTGGACTTTGCTCCTGTACACGGGGGTGTCCATGTTTAGCCGCTGTGGTCAGCCTGCCCCTGTGGGCCTCCTGCAGTGCCCTGACAGGCAAGGCAGGTTCCAGCCCGTGTGGCCTTCACTGCCCCTCCATGGCTGAGAACCTCCCTGAAATTCTCATTTTCTATCATTAGTGCTGAGCCTTAAGTATTGGGGCTGGCGGTAAGGTGGACGGGAGGGCCACTCCTCACAGGTTGGGCTTGAGTTCTTGTTTTGGTGAGTGGGTTAAAGAAAAGAAGAAAAACAAACCTTTTCAAAATGGACTCTGCTGTTGTGTTTGTGGAACAAGGGACTGGGCACGAGCCCCTCAGAATCTGGGGAGCAGAGGCCGCCCCCTTCCCCCAGGCCTCTGAGATGCCGGCTGCCTTCTCCCACTTGAGCCCAGATGCGTCTCTCGGAGTGTCCACTAAGTGCCACCAGGGGCTGCTAGGGCCCTTGTCCAGGCGGGACAAGCCCTCAGCTCAGTGAGTCCTCAAGGTCCCTTGGCACCCACGTGTGCACACCTGCTCAGGCATGTGGCCCACCCACTTCCCCAACTATGTGGAAGCTGTGCTTGCGTCCACTGTGGTCCGGGAAGGGCCCGGGGGATGCCTCTGCCAGCAATAGCACAGCAAGTGGGCACTTGTCTGGATGGTGCTCTGCTCATCCCGTTCTGATCACTGGCACACCAGGAGTGACCCCTAAGCACAGCTCACTGGGAGTCCACTGGGGAGTGTGCTGGCCGGGAGCAGAGCAGGTGGGGGGTAGGGTGTGGGCCAGCAGAAGGGGCTTGGGGTGAAGAGGAGCATGGGTGTGTCACAGTCCCTGAGCTGCCCTTGGGCAGTGGCCCTGGACCTGGGGCTCCCAGGCTGTCCTCTGGTCACTTGCTCCACTCATTTCCCTGAGGCTGAAGCAGAGCTGCTTGGTGGGCACCTGGATGCCAAGTGCCACCAACGGGACTGGGAGCCAGCAGGAAGGCACCAGCTCTGGGTTGCAGACACTGGCGGAGGGCATGCTGACATGTGGGGCTCCAGACCTCCCTGCTGTCCTGCTGGGGGCTGATGGGCTGGGGCCGGCCTCCAAGGGCAGGGCTTGTCATCTTGGCCCTGCTTACCTGGCTGGGAAATGAGGGCCTCTGAGGTCGGGGAGGAAGCCAGGCCAAGAGCCAGAAACCGCTGTTGCCACCCTGGGCTCTGTGGGCGAGGACCCCACCCTCAAGTTTCAGGGATTGAGCAGCAGCCCTGGTGCAGCCCAGTGGGCACACAGGGCCACAGTCAGGCTGAGACTGTTCAGAAAGGTCCAGTTGACAGCTCCTGCAGGACTGCAGAGAGGACCACCCACAGGGTGGCTGGCACTGGACTGTGTCCTTGGCCATCGGCTGAGCAGAGTGCTGGAGGCACGCACAGGGTCTGCTCTTGCGCGTTGGCGTGGAGTAGGTGCAAGCATGCACGTGTGCACCAACCTGTACAGGGCTGTAGAGGTGTGTCTACCAACATGTACATGCATGTTGATATGTCGTGCATAGTGGGGGATTGGAGTGCATGAAGGCATAGCCGTGCGTGTGTATGCATGTATGTGTGAGTGTGTCACTACCTCTAGGGTTAGTGAGTGTCTCACCATTGGGGGCGCTGGGCCATCAGGGGACAGCAAGACTCACGGGGCAGGAATGCAGGTGCTGCTGTGGCAGAGACAGCGGAGGGGGTGTCCCCGAGCCCTGGGTAATGCTGATGGTCTAGGCTGAGCCAGAGGGGCTCCCCAGCATGCTGTGGAGTGGGCAGGGAGAGTCCTCCGGGGAGGGGAGTGGAGTAGGGAGCAGCTGTGCCTCGGGTCTGAGGGCCCAGGTGGTCGTCCTGGAGAGAAAGGATGTGCGGTGTCTGAGGGTCACGGTCCCAGAGATTGGGTGGGGCAGCACACTTCCATGCACATGGGCACCTGAACTCCACGCACAGCTGACACAGATGCACACAAGGCACGTACTCTCCACATGGCACACGCTGACATGAGGCAGCTGCTCCACACGCAGACAGCAGTCATGTGAAAACAGTGCACACTGTCACTTGCATATGGCACGTACTAACATGCACACTTCACCTAACTCGTGGCACATGCTGACATGCTCACGGCATGTACAACTGCACGCGCAGTGCCCAGACACACTTACGTGCAAGCACCACCAGCACATGGTGTACCCGCACTCACAAGTCTTGACAGAAACAAGCATGTGGGCGTCTGGCACACGCGCGGCTCAGGCCTGCAGGTAATGGTCTGCATCGAGCTGACTTTAGGGGAACCCTCCTCCACTCCTCTGCCCGGCCCCAGGGAGAAATGAGGAGTGGGTGCAGGTGGGCAGTGGGAGGGAAGGCGGCCCGTGGCCAGAGGGGACGGCAGGCCTCCTGCCGGCTGCAGGATTGTGCAAAGGCACCAGACGCCCGGCTCAGCGGTCCCGCTATGTGGGTGGATGGTGGGGTCCCGGGGGCTTGGCACTGTGGGGCCTATCCCCTGGGGCCTTGACGACACTGGGGTCATCCCTGGAGGTCTCCCAGGGCCTGCAGGACGCTGGGCGTCCGGGGGCAGTGTTCCTGTCACTGAGCCTCTCCTGTGCAGGGACGTGAGGCAGCAGGAGAGTGAGCAGCTTCACCTGGGAGGCCTTTGCCAGTGGCACTGCTGACCTTGCTGAGGCCACATGAAGTGACGGTGGTGACGGTGACGGTGGAGAGAAGGAAGAGGAGGAAGATGACTCTCACACTGACAGCACAGCTTCTGCCGAGCTCCCTCCAACCTGACGTGAAACTGAGACGGAGAGGAGAGGCTGGGGAGGCCCGCACCTGTGCACGCTGAGGGCTGAGGCCCTGACCCGTTGCCACGAGGCGCAGGGACAGTCTCCCTGTCTGCGTGTGGGACTTGCCCGAGTCTTTGCTGATCAAAGCGCGTGTGTGCGCCGGGCACTTGGCCCTCCTGCTCTGCTCTCACCTGGTGCTATCCCTGTCCTGTCCCACACACGGGCACTGCCACGAATGAGGTGCCACGTATGGCTCCTGCCCAGACCTTGCCCTCCCTCAGCTGTAGGTTTGTGCCAGCCTGGCCTGCTCTCAGCCGGATGAAATGTGGAGGACCAGGCTCTGGAGGACCCCTGTAGGGTCACCGTCCAGGGAGGTGGGCTGTGACCATGCCTGCCATCCACTGGACGGGCTGAGCTGCTGCACATGCCCTCGAGGAAGGTGGCCTGGCTTCTTCCACACTCCAGCTTGGGGCTCGTTCCTGCTGCTAGCTGACTGGTGCACAAGGCGGCTGGGGTCGAGCGCTGGTGGCTAGCGAATGTTTGGGTGTTGTCCACCTCTGGCCATGGCAGGGGGCGAGAAGGCTGCAAGGTCTCCAGGACACTGTCCTTGCCCCAAAGCATGCCTCAGCTGTGGACTGGGCTCGCCCTGACCTAGCCTCCTGGTCCTCCACACCTGCCCCTGGCGGGGCCGTGCATATGCAGAGGGCTGCCCGCACCTCAGGCCAGAGTCTGGGGCGGCCCCAACAGGCCTGAGCCCAGGAAGCTCCCGTCCCCCGGAGCCTGTGCCACAGCTGCACGAGGTCCCCTGTCCCCTCACTCCCCTGGAGCCCTTTCCCACGCTCACGCTCGCCTCGCCTCCCCTCCCAGCGGCTCTGCTCTGAGGTGGGAGGTGACTGCGAGAGTCTGGCCGGCCTGGGGCTCTGGGAGTCTGGGCCAGTCAGTCACCTCATTCTGCCGATCGAGGCTGTGCAGGGGTCAGGGGCCCCTGGAATTGTGCGGGTGGGTATGCACGGACATCCAGTGGCCTCTCTGCAGTGTGGGCACAGGCTGGACAAACAGCCACAGCCCTGAGTCAGATGCAAGGTTGGTGTCAGCTGGGCTCGGTCTGTTCCCAGTGGTCACCAGGCTTGCTGCGGTCAGGACACACCTCCAGGACAGTACAGGACTGGGATCATGGTCCCACTTGATGAGACCGTGTGACATGTATGTTGTGATGCGGCCTGCATGTAACGTGGTCAGTTTGTACCTGTGACATGCTCTGTGTGGGACGTGGTCTGCATGTTCATGTCTGTGACGCGATTATCTAGGATGTGGTCTGTGTGTGACATGTGTGGTTCCCAGGCGTTTTCTGTATCTGTGAGGTGGTCTGTGTGTGTGCTGCGGGCTGGTTGGGGTCCTCTGGCCTCAGGATTGGCGTCCTGATGGGCTCATCACTCTGTCACTGGTCAGGGTGGAGACCTGGGGCCCAGACCTTTGTGATGGCCAGCCTGGGGGGGGGGGGGGGGGGGAGGGCCCTGAGCTGGTGCACAGAAGACCCAGGCCCTGAGTCCCCTGCCTAAGGAAGTCCTGTGGCTCCCAAGCAAGTCCAGCCGGGTCAAGGGCCCGTGCCCTCCCAGCGGGGAATGTGTGTCGGGCGACTCCGGCCCTGCAGTGCAGGTCTGGGGGCGGGGGCGGTGTCCTGGGGCCCTTGCGGATCCGGCCCCACGGGGGGGGGGGGCGGGGACAGCACAGGCTGGCCAGCTCTGCGGCACCAGGTCAGGCGGGAGGTGGGGGCCGTGGCTGGAGGCAAAGCGAGGCCCCTCCGGGTGTTCTTCCTGCAGGGAGGGGCGGGGCGGGCGCCGCAGCTGCTGGCGGAAGCCCAAGTGGCCCCTTTTGTCCTGCTCCGCAGGGCTGCGGGATGTGGGGGACAAAGCCCGGGCCCGTCAGGCAGGGGTCCCGGTCAGCTGGCTGCCCTCACCCCAGGTTGGGAGAGGAGCCGGCGCAGCTGCGAGCCGGGCCCCGCGCTTCGCGGGAGCTGGGCGGCCCCGGCCCCTCTCCCCTCCTCCCGCAGGGGCGCGGGCGCGCGGGCGGAGCGGGACGGGAGCGGCCGGCAGGGGGCGCCCGCAGCGGCCAGTGGGCGTCACGCGCTGCAGATGGTGGGGGAGGGACCCGCCGCCCTCCCGGCGGGCTGGGCTGCGGCTGCGGCTGCGGCTGCGGCGGGGACTGCGGAGCAGCCTCACGTGCCGGGACCGCAGCGTCCACCGCGAGGGCCCGCGGGCGCGGCCCAGCGCCGCACGTCCTCGCCCGACCCCGCGCCCGCGCACGGCGCGGGGCCCGCACCCGGCGCGCTGCGGGGAGGGCGCCGAGGTCGGACGGGGTCTCCGCGGCGACCTGGGACCCGTCTCCCCCGTCGCCGTAGCAGCCGCCCGGCGCGCCCGTCCTCGGGGCTCCGCCGGACCCAGGGGCCCGTCCCTGGCGCGCCAGGCCCGTGGCGCCGCCGCCA